CATTTTATCGTCCGACAGGCAGAAATGAAGGTGCGATGACGTTAGCGGAACATTTGGCTAAATTTCGTGGGCAAAAAAAGGTCCATTGCCTATTGTCAATAGTGTAGCAATGCATGAAATGCACTTTAAAGCCAAGCAGCTTTCTGTCAGTAAGTAGAGCGAATTCGCGATACCAACTTGAACACAAAAGCAAAATCTGCCTGGGGAACATTTCTGCCCTCACACAAAACTCACATGAATTGATTACATGGATTCCTAGTAAGAAGGCTGGATTTTGACTGTGAAACTTTGCTGAGCAGCGATAAATGTGACTGCAAAATTTGAGGTATCATTCAAGTCATGTCCGTTATGATGTGTATGACCCAGTTGAAAAATGTTACAATTTATTACTTTTTTAAACTTTGATATGTATTTGCTGGGATTTGGATTGATGGGTTTCCCTTACTACAGTGTTATTATACATTGAGTATAGTTCTGAGTAATATTACGGTAATTTACAACATGTCCTTACTATAGGGTTAGGGTTCGGAACATGGTTTGGTTTAGGGTTAGTTGCATGTAATTATGCATATCATTTACTGTTAATACTACAGTAAGTATGTAACATGTAATAATTACATAAAATAGAGTGATGAACAGTTGATGTTGTTGTGTCTCGTAAATATGCATGCCGCTGGAATCTTATCGTGCCATGTTTTGCTTAATCATCTGATTAATCTGGGGTTCAGGAAGTGGACACCTAAAACCAGGAAGCACTGGATTAAGGTTCTGAATGTGAAGCGTATTCCAAGAAATGTGATTGTCTACTCATGTTGTAATAAAGTTTAATTTGATGCATTTCAGTATTTGATAAGCAAAACGTAGCTAATAAAACTGTGCTATTTTTATGTAAGCAGAAAAAGTTTTATTATACATATAAAGTTAAATTACACACTGAAGTTCATTAGGTGAAAATATTTTTTTTTGCTTTTAATGCGCCTTCATTTTTAGTTTCTCATAAAAACTAAGAGAGCTGTGATGTTTAGACATCCCATGAGTCAAAGCCAGGTTAGCATGGGAACTGAAACTGAGATAAAATGTGTTCTCCGATATGAGTTGGGATAGAAGAGTGAAAATGAGACAAATTTTGCCCTCCTATCGTGTTTGCATGCAATACACAAAAGACATTACGTTTGCTTGTATGGGGGAGTAACAAGCCAAATCAGGGTTGTAATTTAATTTCTAAAAAAAGGAATTACAGGGTATATTTCTAAATAAGGTGTTGGAACGAGAGCGGAATTGTTCATTTGTGTGGCACCTGCTTCAGTCTGAAGCCCAGGAGTATTCCAGGACAGATAATTCCACACATTCACACGGGATGTTATTATAACTTCAGCGAGGTTAGAGGAAGTCACCGCGGCAATTACTCACCTCCCACCAGCCTCATTAAACCTCTGACCAACCACGGCTCCTCATCATACACACAGCACAGCGAGACAGCCAATCAGGGAGCAGACAGGCGGCATGCCGCCGCCCACACAGTGACAGGATATTGAGAGGTTGTCTGTCTGAGCACCTGAAATACATTTGTTTATTCACAATGTGTCGCCTGGCCAGACGGGGAGGAGGCTCGTCTCTGAGAGAGAGAATAGCAGGAGAGGAGGGCAGGGCTGAGCTAGCGGCGAACACGGCCTCGCTTTCATCATGTGCTGCTTTTAGCAAATGTATTTGTATCGAGATTTACGAGTAAAACGCCTGCAAACAGGGTGATGCTTTTTGTAGTCGCAGGATTGTCCTTAGTGGTATTTTATAGATGTCCCGTCACGAAAACCACAATGAAATGATAGAATTAAAAGGATGGTTCACCCAAAAATGCTCTGCTCTTTTCCATACAATGAGCATGAATGAGGAATGGGCTCATCCAAGCTTCAATAATGACAAAAATAGAATAAAAATAGTAGTTGTTAGAGGTAAAATACATCTGATTTGTGTGATTTTTATATCGCATTTGGCACTCCAAATCATTGTTATTGTTAACTAAAATTACTACAATAGTTTTTGTTAATTGAAATAAACCAGAAAATTAAATTAAATATAAATATAAGTTGAACACTTAAACTTTGAAGTTAAATTGGTTAAGTTGAAGTACTAAGTTGAAGAAAGTGTATTAAAGCTAAACAGAAATAAATAAATAAATAAATAAATAAAACAATTCTGTCATTATTTACTCACCCACGTTGTTCCAAACCCGTAAGACTTTCGTTCATCTTCGGAACACAGATGAAGATCTTTATGATGAAATCTGAGAGTTTTCTGTCCCTCCATTGACAGCTACGCAACTACACTTTGACACTTCAAAAAGTTCATAAAGAGATCGTAAAACTAATACATATGAATTGAGTGGTTCGGTCCAAATTTTCTGAAGAGACTCGATCGATTTATAACGATAAACAGATTTAAAGGTGCCCTAGAATGTTTTTTTTTATTATTTTATAATGTTTCCTGGGTTACCCTTATAATGTTAGTATGTTTTTTAGATAAAAAATAATCATAATTTAGAAATAAATGGCATTTTTCCTAGCCTGCTTTTAGCCTCTGATTTGAACACTCTGTTTGAAGGGGCGTGTCTGCTGTGGGATTCAGTGTAACCGCGGCCACTGCTGTGATTGGCTGACATGCTTGCATATGAAATCGCTACGCATTACATGTGAAACTCTCTCCCGAATACTTTTACTACTGCTATTATACGTTTTTACTATAACAGCTATAGAGATTAACGAATCGTGAGATGTTTTTAAAGTATTTAGATCTATTCCCATCACATAAAATGTTGCCGTGATGAGCATTGAGCAGATGACAGTGTGTTGATCGCGAGAATGAAGATCTTATCATTGCAAAGCAGTTTCTGCACTCTCTCTGCTTTCACCAATGCAAACACGATGATGTAAATACAGTAAGAGCTTCGTTGTGCAGTAACGTGCGTCATTGATTTCATAACGAGTTTGGCAAGTGTCCAGATAAACTCGCGCTGTGTGGAAAGATTGTTCTTTGATCGCTTTCTGTATATAATTTGTTCACAATTTAAATACGATTATTTTCATCCTACTAAAAGAAACGATGTGAAGCTGATATTTTAGTCACTGGCTTGACTTACTGATGCATAAACAGTATTGAACGATTTTGAGAGAAAGATTACCTGTCTGAACTTGAACAATTACACATCAGAAAGTGTTGCTTGGTAGCTCGATCCGAGGCCAGCTCTGTATTGGCCCAAGTTGAGGAAACAGTCGGTGAAATGTTTGGAAATTTCCAGAGAAAATAAAATTAACCCATTGTTTCTTCAGAGGCTCAGATGAAGGAACTAAAAAATACTTTTGTGTTCATGTGTACATCCACACTGAGCAACTGCCATGCTTCGGCTGCGCAGTTCCGCCTGGCATTGAGGGCTGGCATTATGCAAATATTTGGAGGCGTACATATTAATGATCCCGACTATTGCGTCACAGTCGGTATTGTGTGGAGAACCGACCGTTTTTCAGGGGTGTTTTTCATAAACGTGAATTAAATGAGAACGCGAAAACAGTCCAGTTTGAGATTCACTCTATGTCATGTCCATGCACTGAACTCTTGTTATTTGACTATACCAAGGTAAATTCAATTTTGAATTATAGGTCACCTTTAAGTTCTTATTCACATATAAACATTCATCAACTCACACATCAGTTGTGGTAAACGAAAGCTCAAGCATGTTCGCTTGACGTGCGAGGACCAATGAGGTTCATTCTCGTGTTACGCATCACGTTTGAGCTTCAGCAAGAACCAATGAGGTTTGTTCTCGCGCATAAAGCAGGTTCGGTTGAGCTTCTGTTTATGTTCGCTGACCAATGTTTATATGTGAATAAAATAATATAATGAACCTGTCATCATATTAAGCAATTGTGTCTTCAGAAAATTTGGACTAAGCTGCTCAATTCTGGATTAGTTTTACGATCTCTTTATGAACTTTTTGAAGCATCAAAGTGTCAGTTGCATTGTTGTCAATGGAGGGACAGAAATCTCTCAGATTTCCACAAAAAGATCTTCATTTGTGTTCCCAAGATGAACGAAAGTCTTACGGGTTTGGAACGATGTGAGGGTGAACTCTTCCAGTACAACCAGGTGTAAAAAACAGAAACAAAAGAGGAAATGTATTTTTTTATTTGAACACTCCTCTTTTCCTCTGTCTGAAGCAGAACTGACGTGCAATCATTCCCGTTACACAGGAGAGCCATTCGCCCACATGATTGCCACAAACATTTCCAAACAGAAAATCTTGAATGTCAGGAATATCATTCATCAAAACTTAATTTTTGGTACCTTAAGACACATCAGTAATTGTGCAAAATTTTTTTCTAGTTTCTAGTAACAAACTTTGTTGGAATCAATAGGCTCCCCTGTGAACCAATAGGACCACAGCAAGAAAATCTGAGAAAGAAAGTACCTACAAAAAAAAGCCTGTAAAATGAAGAAAGGATGAAAGAATATTGACTTAATATTGAGCAATTAAAGTGTCTCATCCCCGGTTGTTTAAACACGGCGTCCCCATGCACAGCCTGATGAATCTGCCTCTAGATCCCGTCGGAGCCGAGCGCTGATGACTAACATGATATTTTTACTCAGTAATTATGTAACTCATCGGAAACGCAGCACAAGTGTGAAGCACATGGAAGGTGCAGATACGGTCCACGCGATCCAGGAATTGTTTGCCCACCAAAGTGTTTCTGACACCTTTTGCTTTGCACATTATGTCCAGGATTGTCCGTGCCAAGCTCTGCTTTAAGCAACCTTTATTTTAAGGCTTTGTTCTTGGTAATATTCAGATTAATATATATTTACTTATTTTAAATGGCTTGAAGGATCATTATATCACAGAAGAACATTTATGAAGGCACAGACGTTATAACACTCAAGTTTGTGCAACTGCGAAATTAGGGTGAGACAGCATCTACATTTCAAAGTGGTTTTTGGGAGATGTGACGTACCTTAATGTCAACCAGTAACCAATGTCTCCAGTAAGCACGAGAGGGTTTCTTACGACTAGGAGCATCTGGGTCCACCATTAATAGAGTGTATTTCTTCTCCTAGAAAGAAAGAAAGAAAGAAAGAAAGAAAGAAAGAAAGAAAGAAAGAAAGAAAGAAAGAAAGAAAGAAAGAAAGAAAGAAAGAAAGAAAGAAAGAAAGAAAGAAAGAAAGAAAGAAAGAAAGAAAGAAAGAAAGAAAGAGAAAGAAGAAAGAAAGAAAGAAAGAAAGAAAGAAAGAAAGAAAGAAAGAAAGAAAGAAAGGGGTTTATTTTGTGACATTATCACACGGCTACTTATCAAACCACTTAGTACAAATTAATTACCAATTGAATAAATGTAAAATAATGAATGAATAAATAAATAAATGTAAAATAAGTTAAAAGTAATGTTATGTAAAAAAAAAAAGTGTAGCTGAAAAATAAATAAATACTGAAAGAAGGCATGAAACTAGTACAGTGTAGAACAGTGGTTACCAAGAACAGCAGTAAATCATATAGTTAAGTTCAAAGTGAGTTTTTCTTTTGCAGTATGATATATGAGATATATATGAGATGAGATATATGATATAATATAGGATATGAGAAATAATATATGATATGATACATAAGAAATATTATATGATGAGATATGATACATAGTATATTACATTATATAATACATGATATATGAGATATATGAGATGTGATATATGATATGATACATGAGAGATATGATATGATTGTTATCATATCATATATCAAATCATAACATATCATATCTCAATACTCAGGGCTATAACTACCACAAAAAGACAATATTCATATTAACAGCTGATCAACTCGTTTTTTCACAAACTAATTCTTAAAATTTGGTTGCATCATTGATAGTAATGTAATTATAACTATGTTTTAAAATGAATAAATTCGTTTTTTTCTTTTTGTTCTCCTCAACATGGATCTGAGCTTTACTTTCCTTCAGCGATTAGAAACATCGATAACTTTAACTATCTCTGAGAACCCAGCGTCTTTAGCAAGTGACGTATGGAAGAAAACTTTAATTAGTTACTGATATTCTCAGGCAACCTTCCATTCTCACACATTCACCAAATCACAATCTGTCAGCAAAGTTTTCTTTACTTTCTCTCTTTCACTCTCTCTCATAAAAAAACACTTCTCCATAAACAACCTGGCACATATTTTGGGTGCTACACATTAACAATGACTGACCAACTTAATTGCTCCAACTACTCATCTTCGCAAGTCCCCTAAAGTTGAAGAACTGGGAGAGCAGATTGAATTATTGCGTGAGCACATTTGTCATCCCTGGTGCCGAGCCCAAAATCTGCCAGACCATATGATAGCGTTATTATTATACGCCTCTCTCAAGAAAACAGTAATGTCAATCACGATTGTTGCCATGCAACAAATAGCCCCTCCCCACAACATCAACACAAAGATGCAGACAAAAGTAAAAACGCTGAATAAATTAAACAATCCAGTATGGTATTTCCAGAAAAGGGAAAACAAAAGGATAGTTCACCCATAAATGGAAATTCTGTCATTTACTCACCCTGTAAGTAAATTGTTCCAAACCTGTATGAATTTTTCTTCTTCTGCTGAACACAAAAGTAGATATTTTGAAGAATAGTGCTAACCAAACAGTTAATGGGACCCCCATTGACTTCCAGAGAAGAGAAAAAAATACTATGGAAGTCAATGTAAAATTCATTCATTATGAAACTAATTCAATTAACAATAGTGTCATTATTTAGCTCAATTTAGTTCAGGGTTGTTTGAGTTTAGTTCAATAACCGTATCAATATTGCAAAGTTAATCAGTTATGAAAAGTTCATTCATTTTGATTATGATAATCATAAAAACAAACAATAGTTATGCTTTTTTTTAAAGGACCAAAAATTATACAGCATACATCAATTAGTGTACATTAAATGAAATAAGTTTTATATTAAACAGAGGCCATATGTTTATTTATTTATTTTTTGCCAATCCAAGAAAAGTGTTTTCTCATTTCATCTGCAGCCTCAAGACTATTTATAATAATTTCTAATCAGACAAGCCTATGTTTAAGCAAATACAGTATGGAATTGAAAATCCCTGATATTCTAAGGTCTCTAGAGCCTAAATCCTTTGCTCACCTGACACAAAGCAATAAGCTCAAACAACCATAAGCCTAATAATAGGATCATGTTTAAGTTTAAGTGATAGCAGCTCCAGGCGATATTCAAACAGCGAGAACAATGCTGCCTCCTCCACGGGCTGTCATGCTAAACCCTGACTGGATCTCGCTGATCTGACCCCCCTGTGGACAGATTAAACACCCTCCACAGACCTGTTGCCGAAAATGTGATCCAGTTCTTATCGACCATGAAGAGCAGATGAAACAAACATACCTTTGGAGGTGAATGAATGATTAGTGCTTGTTAATCCAGCACATAAATAAATCTCACGGTTTTAATGTCCAGATTTTAATGCTTACATAAAATTACAAAAAGTTGGATACATTACATCATATATAGCAAATCTCAGTGATTGTTTATATTGTTGCAAAATATAAACTGTATCATCTCACAGATATATAATGTTGGATATACTGTATACGTGCAAACAGTGAACATGATTTCACCAGTACAACTTGTTCCTGGATCACCATCTTTGTTGATCCTGAAACAACAATTCAATCAACCAATCAGATTTGAGGGACAAGTTTACACTTTATGTCAAGTTTTGGTTTACAACCAGGGTTAGGTGCTTCTACATAAGGTTTATTCACCTATAATTTCCTTCTGATTTTTTTAGATATGGGTAGGGTTAGGTTTAGGTTTAGGGGTAGAGATAGTACAACATTTTCGAACAGGAATGTTGTTCCAGGATCAACAAAATGTGTTGATCCAGACACATGACTTAATTGAAAAAAAAAAAACATTCCCTTAAAGAGATATAAGCCGCGTTTCCACCAAAATTACCCGGAACAATTTGTCCCAGTAACTTTTTTCCCCCCACACCTGTTGCTGTCTGAAGTACCATGAAGATTAGGCAACTTAGTCCGGTGACGTAGGACTGCGCACGACTTTCCAGTTCCTGCTGGATTTCGTCCTCCACATATAAGCTTAATAAAGCCTGAACCTCGTCGTCGGGTCCATCGGTCGTATTTTTTAAACTCCGTTGTTGATTTGAATAGAAAAAAAACTCTTACTGCACGTACCCCAACAGACTTTTAAAAATGGTGGTTGAAATAAAATGCTACGTGGAGTCAACCAATAAAAATGCTGCGTGAACTCAACCAATCAGCATGTTCAGCGCCCAAGTCCCACCCCGAAAGTTCCTGCACTTTGAAAAAATACTACTTTCTGAGGAGGAAATGTTTGCCCAAAACTTCATTTAGACCCGGGGTCCCTGCGGTCGAAACACACCGAGTACCTCCCCAAAGTTCCTAGTTCCTGGGGAAAGTTCCTGTGGTGGGAACGCAGCTATATACCATTTAGCAAATTCGAATTGTCTGACTTAGTCGCAAAATGTAACTATATTATCGCCCAGCTCTGATCTGCTAAATGAGACAAAGGCATGGAGATATTATAAACATTAACATCATAGTTGTGTCCCAAATTACACACTATGGACTTACTATATACACTCACCTAAAGGATTATTAGGAACAGCTGTTCAATTTCTCATTAATGCAATTATCTAATCAACCAATCACATGGCAGTTGCTTCAATGCATTTAGGGGTGTGGTCCTGGTCAAGACAATCTCCTGAACTCCAAACTGAATGTCAGAATGGGAAAGAAAGGTGATTTAAGCTATTTTGAGCGTGGCATGGTTGTTGGTGCCAGACAGGCCGGTCTGAGTATTTCACAATCTGCTCAGTTACTGGGATTTTCACGCACAACCATTTCTAGGGTTTACAAAGAATGGTGTGAAAAGGGAAAAAAACATCCAGTATCCGGCAGTCCTGTCGGCGAAAATGCCTTGTTGATGTTAGAGGTCAGAGGAGAATGGGCCGACTGATTCAAGCTGATAGAAGAGCAACTTTGACTCGTTACAACCGAGGTATGCAGCAAAGCATTTGTGAAGCCACAACACGCACAACCTTGAGGCGGATGGGCTACAACAGCAGAAGACCCCACCGGGTACCACTCATCTCCACTACAAATAGGAAAAAGAGGCTAAAATTTGAAAGAGCTCACCAAAATTGGACAGTTGAAGAATGGAAAAATGTTGCCTGGTCTGATGAGTCTCGATTTCTGTTGAGACATTCAGATGGTAGAGTCAGAATTTGGCGTAAACAGAATGAGAACATGGATCCATCATGCCTTGTTACCACTGTGCAGGCTGGTGGTGGTGGTGTAATGGTGTGGGTGATGTTTTCTTGGCACACTTTAGGCCCCTTGGTGCCAATTGGGCATCGTTTAAATGCCATGGTCTACCTGAGCATTGTTTCTGACCATGTCCATCCCTTTATGGCCACCATGTACCCATCCTCTGATGGCTACTTCCAGCAGGATAATGCACCATGTCACAAAGCTCGAATCATTTCAAATTGGTTTCTTGAACATGACAATGAGTTCACTGTACTAAAATGGCCCCCACAGTCACCAGATCTCAACCCAATAGAGCATCTTTGAGATGTGGTGGAACGGGAGCTTCGTGCCCTGGATGTGCATCCCACAAATCTCCATCAACTGCAAGATGCTATCCTATCAATATGGGCCAACATTTCTAAAGAATGCTTTCAGCACCTTGTTGAATCAATGCCACGTAGAATTAAGGCAGTTCTGAAGGTGAAAGGGGGTCAAACACAGTATTAGTATGGTGTTCCTAATAATCCTTTAGGTGAGTGTATATGCTAATGACGCTACTTATACACTATGTATGTAGGATATTTTGTCATTCAACATCGGAGTCTGATAGCCCCTCCCCCAGGGAGTGTCCAACATTCCACACTTATTTTTTTGGGTTAAGTAAGTGCATAATGCAGGTATTTAAAGTGCACTTTTTCTTTTTGGAATTTTCAGTGATATGAACTCACTATTCACAATATTTATACTACAAAACGGCAAAT